AGATGGCTCAGTGGTTAAGAGCATTGCCTGCTCTTCAAAGGTCCTGAGTTCAGTTCCCAGCAACCACACGGTGGCTCACAACCATCTGTAATGGGGTCTGGTGCCCTTTTCTGGCCTGTAGGCACACATGTAGACAGAATATTGTATACATAATAAACAAATAAACATTTTTTTTTAAAAAAAACTCTTAGTTGAAAATACAGAAGATTTCTATACATGGGTACATACATTTCCCCTCATGTCTCCCATGCAAAATAAGGCATTGCTTCCTCTTTCTCTGTGGTTCACTTATGCCTCACAACAACTCCAAATGGTGGTGTTTTAGGGTTACTATTGCTGTGATGAAACACCATGATAAAGCAACTTGGGGAGAAAAGGGTTTATTTGGCTTACATTTTCACATTACTGTTCACCACTGAAGGAAGTCAGGACAGGAACTCCAGCAGGACAGGAACCTAGAGGCAGAAGCTGATTCAGCACCGTGAAGGAGTGTTGCTTACTGGCTTACTCATATGGCTTGCTCAGCCTGCTTTCCTGTAGAACCCAGGAGCACCAGCCCAGGGATGGCACCAGCCACAATGGGCTAGGCCCTCCCCAACTGATCACTATTTTAAAAAACACCTTACACCCTGATCTTATGGAGGCATTTTCTCAATTGTGGTTCCTGCCTTTCAGATAACTCTAACTTGTGTCATGTTGACATAAAACTAGCCAGCATAGGCAGATTCTATAACACTGCCCCTATTTACAAAAGGGAAAAGTAATATTTATGCAAATGTGAAGAAACAGCACGTAGAGGACTGGGAATATAACTCAATTGGTAGAATGCTAGCTTAGCATGCACAAAGCCATGGGTTTGATCCTTAGCACTACAGGTACTGGGTACAGTGATGCACGCCTGCAATCTCAGTCTCTGGGAGAGGGAGGAAAGAAGATCAGAAGTTCAAGGTCATTTTCAAATACGTAGCAATCTTGAGGACTGTTTAGGATATATGAGATTATCTCAAAAAACCACAAAAAGTAACATTGTGATATATTCATAATGTATCAATATCATATGTTATTGGTATTAACTTTTGGTTGGGAATATTTTTGTTTTTTTTTTCTTTTTGTTTTTTGTTTTTTCAAGATAGGGTTTCCTCTGTATAACTTTGGAGCCTTTCCTAGAACTTACTCTGTACACCAGGCTGACCTTGTACTCGCAGAAATCCATCTGCCTCTGCCTCCCAAGTGCTGGGATTAAAGGTATACACTACCACCAACAGGCAATCGTGAATATTTTTAACATTTATTTTTTGCTTTTAATTCTGTATAAATGTATGTGTGTTGGTTGTGTACATGTGGGTGTGGGTGTCTGCAGACAGTTTAGAAGAAGGGTCTGATCTTCTGGAGCTGGAGTTGCAGTCAGTTTGGAACCACCAGATGTAGGAGCTGGAAACTGGGGTCCTCTGCAAGAACAGTAAGCATTCTTTTTTGCTTGTTTGTTTTTTCTTTTTCTTTTTTTATTAGATTTCTTTTTTAAAAAAATACCAATCCAAATTCCCACACCCTCCCCTCCTCCCATTCCCTCCACACACCCTTCCACCACACCCCACTCTAATCCTCAGAGATGGTAAGGCACCTTGCTTTGTGGAAGGTCCAAGGCCCTCCCTACTATATCTAGGCTGAGCAAGGTATACATCCAAAGAGAATAGGATCCCAAAAAGTCAGTACAAGCAGTAGGGATAAATCCCAGTGCCACTGCTAGTGGCCCCTCAGTCTGCCCCAGCCATACAACTGTCAGCCACATTCGGAGGGCATAGTTTGATCCTATGCTTAAGAACATCAAGCATTCTTAACCTTTGAGCCATCTTACTAGCTTCTTAGTTCAAGAAATTTGTGCAAAATTTGAGTTAGTGTAACTTGGTACGACGTAGATGTAGTGCTGAACGTTGGACTTTCTTTGGCAGGTGGATCCAGTTCTTGCTCCCCAAAAGTTATAGGACTGATGTGAGCAAATGATTTGAGTCTAATGTGGTGCAAACCATGTCAGGGTCTCTGGAGCTGTGGGTTCACAGAGGAAATGAGTGGATGGTCAGGGCAGGGATATCATGTAGAGAGAAGTAGGGCCCATGAGTCCATGTTTAACTATACAGAGTTCCAGGTTAGAGAGCAAGAGACAATGTCAAGGCTGCCTTTTGTCTTTTCTGCAGGACAAGGTCATAGCATTCTCCCTGTGCTATTACTGATAATACCTGAGAGCACTGCAGGGAGCAGGACAGAATCGCCATTACAAGATGGCGCTGACATCCTGTCCCGTTGGAAATAAACAACTCCATATATGGCTATGCCTTTGGGAGCTGCATGTCCCCTGCTTCCAGCATGCGTGGGGGATAAGGGCCCTTGGGCCTATCCCAATGCAGTCTGGTGTCAGCTGATGGTGGCAACCAATCACAGGGCGACCCGTGTGCCTACTTCCTATATAAGCAGCTGCTTTAGTGCTCTGGGGGGGGGGGGGGCGGGGCTCGCTTCCTGCTCTCCCTCAACCAAGAGGCACTCCAATAAAACGTGATCTGAGAAGAATCCTCGTGTGGTGGTTGTTCTTTCTCGCTGGTCGAGAAGTTCGCCGCAGAGCATGTATCAAAGGCACCCTGAAGATAAATGTGCTCAGTGTACTGAATATTTGACACATGTATGTAAGACTGCTTGGATCAGATGGTGGTGGCATATACCTTTAATCCCAGCATTCAGGAGTCAGAGACAGAAGGGTCTTTGTGAGTTTGAGGCCAGCCTGGCCTACAGAGCATGTTCTAGGACAGGCTCCAAAGCTACAGAGAAACTCTACCTTGAAACAAACAAACAAAAAAAAGAGTGCTTGAGAAATGTATGATTAAAACATATTTAACACATCCCAAAACTCTTGAGACTTTTTCACCCGCCTCTGAAAGACAGACACTGAGTTCTACTCACCAGAAATCTAAGCACCATTTTTTGTGGCTCTTTCAGAGATGGTGTATGTTATTCTTTCCTCATGCCCTTGTGTTGACATGTAAGTGTTTCATTACAGAGCAGAGGCTCCAGCACATTATCAAGGGAAAAATGCCTCAAAATGGCAGGGACATCTAATCACACTTTATAAGCTATTCTAACCCAGAGGCCCTTAGCCTTATTGATATTTAAGAGACTACATCAGTTACTGTCATAGGCAGCGGTTCTGCACACCTTGGCCTCTTCTCTTGTGTCTCTGAGCTCCGCCCACTGGATGCCAGGAATACACTAGTCCCTACAGTGCCTCAGTAGGCAGCTGAAAATATCCCTAGGGGATAAAGGGCAACATTATTCCCACTAAGAACCAGTGTTCTCATTGTGCAAGGTGGCTCACAACACTCAAGAAGCAACCTTAGCTACAGAGTGAGATTTTGTCTCAAAACAAAACAAAATAAAACATGGCAAACTGAACAACAATCACAGTGTTATTATGAGTGTTGTGTATTGTTTCTGGAAATATAGCAGATAATGAAGAGGAGGAAAGTGTAAAAAGATTTCGTGTCACGAAATTCCAAATATGTGAAGAGAACATTGGGATCTAGAAATCAGATCCTAATTGTGCTTCCATGGCTACTGAAGAAAAGTTTTGAGCCCATCAACTCTTTCACTCTCCTCCTCCCCTCTTCTTTCTCTCCAGTGTAAAATGAGAAGCACGGTTAGAGTCCCTGACAGATAAAACTTCAGAGTAGGACTGAGATTGTTTCCTTCAGGCTTTGTGTGTAGCACTGGAGATTCTTCAAATAAGAACCATGCATCAAAAATTAGCTCCAAGTGTGTATTCTGCATCCTTCTCTTGCTATAAAGCTCTGTCACTGTGGAGAAATGAGATTGCATAGCAAAGAAGGAAAAGAAGGAGAAGAAAGAGGAGGAGGAGAAAACTAAAACACTCTTAATCCTATTTGCCAGTGAATTGCCACATTTTGATAATTTGGTGACTTAGTCTTAATTACTTTCCATGTTCATATATAAAAGTTTGTATGTAACTAGCTGCAAGTATATTACATCCACATGCAACAGATAAATCACTTGCTGCATAATGTTTTGGAACCTCATTTTGTTCCATTTAACCTAGTACAAATGTCCTTTTCTCTCTAAGTATCTAAAATCATAGTACCTTTTATTCCTTTTTTTTAAAAAATTTGAGCTTAGAAGATATTACAACAGTTATTTCATTCTGTTGTAAATCCACAGTCCCATTTTAGGTCTGTTTTTTTTTTTTTGTTGTTGTTGTGGTGGTGGTGGTGGTGTGTGTGTGCCTGTAAGAGAAAGACGGAATGTGTGTGTGTGTGTGTGTGTGTGTGTGTGTGTGTGTGTGTGTGTGTGAGAGAGAGAGAGAGAGAGAGAGAGAGAGACAGACAGACAGACAGACAGTCTGTATATATGTGTAACAGACAGAAAGTGTGTATGTATGGTGACTGTGTGTGTGTGAGAGAGAGAGACAGAAAGTCTGTATATATGTGTAACAGACAGAAAGTGTGTATGTATGGGGACTGTGTGTGTGTGTGAGAGAGAGAGAGACAGAAAGTCTGTATATATGTGTAACAGACAGAAAGTGTGTATATATGGGGACTGTGTGTGTCTGTGTATTTACTTTCAGTTGAGCAATCACCTGGAAAAAGAGAAGGTGAAACTAACTTGTTTAAAAAAAATATGTCCCCAGATGAGGAAGGTTTACTCATTTCAGCCAAGCCGAACACAAAGGAAGGCTGTGAGCAGCAAGGGTGAGTTACTTGCACTGCAGTTCTCTATCCCTGCCCCCACCCCGGGAAACGGCTAGCAGAGAGCACCCGTCACCGGAGGTGGGGCTTCCTGTATTGCAGAAATAGGTTCTCCCTAGACACCTTTCCACCAAGGTTAGAAAGGCCGCCCACATTACGAAGTACCTTCCAGAGCCAGGGGTGGTCAGGAGGGCAGGACTGGGCTGAGTGGCTGAGCAGAACACGTGATACTGCCAGACTGCCAACTGGGCCCTCTGTGAGCCTGAGGCTGAAATCGACATTTGCCTCTGGCAGGGAAATGAACTTGTCAGTTTCCTTGTGCTTCAGACCCTCAACCCAAAGGAGTCAGAGATTGCAGTAGCAATTTGGCTTTGTGTATCAAGAACCTCACAACTATAAAGGTAAGTTCTTTGTCACTCAGAAACAAACCTGAGAGCAGTGACCTAGAAATCCACACCACCGCTGTCAATTTAAAAACATACGATCTTGAAAATAATAGAGGGCTGATAGAGGCAAGGGCTGTATTTAATCTAAGTTAGAGTTTGACCCTGTGAGCAGAAATGTGGCTAATCTCGAGGCAATGGTGGTAAAGGGGACAGGGTTAAATACAGAAGGGGAAAAAAGCAGGTGGAATAAGTGGCCAGCAAACTTAACTCATGCCTGCTTGTTAAGCAATCTATTTAACGTTCCTTTCAGGAGAGTGATCAAAAGGAATGTTATAATTGTGATTTACACTTAAAACAATCCCTGTGAAATTGCGATAGGAATGAAAAGAGCGTCTATCACTACCCTTTCACAACGTTTATGTGGTTTGGCAAACAAGTAAGATTTTATACATGAACTGCTCTAAGTTCTGAATGCACTAGTTCCAATTTATGAACTGATCAGAGAATATTCTAAAGCCTTTAAGGAAAGATTGTTTCACTGGGAATGCAAAAAATGTTGACAACGTACATTGTAATAGTAAAGTGACTTGCTTTTTCAGAATGTCCGAAAAATCAGACAACTTGAAATAATGAGTTGTTTTCAACAAATTTGTGCTCAAGAGATGAAATGTCTTAGCCAGGAGTTAGGAAAAAATAAACATAAATACAGTTGTGTTCTCTCAGTGTTTTATTTTAATTAATCGAAGATTACAGAAAGTAGTATTAATGCGTGATGCCACTGTTTTTTCCCCTTAGCAAATGAGACTAATGTAATGCAGCTAGTGAGAATAATTCAAAGTATCAGCCATCGGTCCAGTTTGAAGAATATTCCATCAGGAACTGCCTGAGCGTAATATTTGACTATATAATTTGGAACACCAAACTTCAAATGCTATGTGTTCATGCATGCTCTATTTCGGGTTTCATTTTAATTTTTATAAAACATATTTCTCTATTGCATCTGATAAAACAGAACACCAGATTGTGTTCCTTTCCACAATAATCTCCTTATTGCTAGCTGTTTTTGAAATCCTATTATATGTTTGGAACCTGTAATAATGTTAATTCTTCCTGTGTACTGTTTCCCCTAACTTTCCCAACAAGACCAAGCAATAGACAGGCATCAAGACAAACACCCTGAAAGGAGGTCATATTAACTGTTACCTGCCTCTTTTGGAACATGCAGGGTCTTCCCACCCACCCTCGGACCCCCTCCTGTCTTGCTCACAGCCGCAGGACTCCAAAGACATCACGTGGCAGCGTGGAGCCCGCCTCCGGATGACGTCACAGCACTCGCAGCAGACGTGCTGAAGAAAGGATGCTCTAGGATGCTGTCCAGGTGGACGGCCACGCTGCAAGATGCGGCACTGCAGGTAAGGGGTGCGTGGTGCCTGGATGCCTTTCCTGGCGCTCCCAACAGTGCAGACGCTTCAGGCAGATCCTGGGTGGGTGGTCTGCTGCCCTGGCAGCTCCCCCTAAAACCGAAAGTGGGGCCTTTGCCTGCTGTCCACAGCTGCTTCCTCCTGGTGCTTTTGCTGGGAGTGGCCTGGTGCAGGTGCAAGCGTGAGTTGGGTTTTGGCGTGTTCACTTGCAGAAAGTGGGCAGGGGCCAGACAGAAAGATAAGAGCCTCTTGCAAGGAAGGGAAGAAAAATTTTAACTGACTACTACACATGCTTTCTAAGGACAGAGACCAAGAGCAAAAGCTGCTTTGAAAAGATAACCATAAACCATTTTCCTTCTGTCATAGTGCTGGCTCAATAAAGATATCTTTATTAATTCTTTTCTCAGAGGTTCCCTCTCAGCAGTGAGCCTAATTTTATTCAAAGCAAAAACTTGATAGGGAATGGCAACTTCTTAGCTGCAATATCAAGGCCAGATGTGCAGTCAAAATTGTTTAGCATTATTTTGCAAGGTTCCAGCATTTAAACCTATTTTTTTCCAGGCAGGTGTTTTCAGTAGATTTAAAAATAACAGCATTCAATAAAATACAATAAAATACGGTTTGCAAAGATAATGGGCCACTGTAAAACATGGCTATATCTCTAAGAACAAAATGGTACTTAGCGAATGCTGGAGGTTGGAGATAACCCAGACCTTCAGAATTTCCAGCATTCTTCTTAATTGCTTAGCTGCATAATTAGCTCGCTGAAGGAAGGGGCTTGATGACTCAGCGGCAGATGGAGGGGTCAGGTGACTTCAGTCCCAGCATGACAGCCTGTATGTGCATGTGGGGGGTGGGGATTTTAATGCCTTCTTTCTCAACAACCCTGTTTACATTCCTTTCTTCTGGTCTGTGGCCAGGACGTGTGTGGGCACCCTAGGGAGGCGAATTAACATTCTCTTTGAAAACCTGACGTCTTTAGAAGGGAGGCATCAGTCACCTGCACTGGAACTTACCCTCTGAAGAATTCTATCCAGTAGCAACTTTGGTGAAACAGTGCTATTCAAATTGATAATTAAAGATGGCATTTTGTTCAGACTTTGGGATATCCTGATAGGTTGTGTGTCATTCGTTCAGTGATGTATTTATTGTGATTTTCCTCCTTTGGTTTGCGTTAGCTACGAACATTAAGATTAGCCAGTATTATAGCTATTTGAGAGACCCTGGATTCCATGTCTAACAGCAAAAACAAAGCACCTTCAGATCCCACCCTTTCTTCTTCCAAACCAACTCTTGACAAAGCAAAGCAGGTGTTGGAGGAAGGTGGAATAGACACTTGGATCTACTTCTGATTTTGCAGCTGTATAACCTTGAATAATCACCATTATCCTTTCAGGCCTCAGCTTTCTCATTCTGAAAGAAACAAAGTTATCTGGTATATGGTTTCTTAACTTTAGGATGGCTATGAGGGGCATCCAATTCATTGTAGGATGTTTAGCCTAGTCTGTGGCCTCCACCTACAGATGCCAGTATGAAACTCTTTCTTCCTTCTATGACAAGCCAGAATGTCACCAGACATTGCCACCTGCTTAAGGATTCCACTGACCCTGGTTAGGAGCTACTGATTTAGATGACAGCTTTATTCTTTTTTCCACCATGGTATTGGGAGTAGAATCTAGGTTTGTTTATTGTATGTTAGGTAAGCACACTACCACTGAGCCATAGCCTCAGTCCATAGATGTCCTTTAGATGTTTTTCCAGCTCTTACATTCCAGAGTTTGTTTTCTTATGGTAGGTTCGATATGGAGCCCTTGATTTGAAATCATCATATTGGGTATTCATGAGTTATAAATGTGAGAGCTTTCTTTATTGGAGGTTATCATTTACAGTTTCTGAGGGAAGAGGAGAGGGATGCTTGCATAGCATTTGTAATTAGGTGCTGGCCTGACACAAAAAGCAAAATAAAAATAAATAAAAGCAAATTAGAATGACGATTCTAATATTCACAAGGCTGTTCATCATCAATTGATACCTAAGAGACCAAAGAACCTAATAAAATTTGTGGCCCTTGATTGGATCCCAGCCTGAACAAACATACAATAGTCATCTGGGCGGGGGGCACTTGAAGATCAGATGATCCAAGGAGACCAGTGCTGATTTAGTAAAATGAATCTGAGACTTACCCTGCTGGGTACAATCTTGCATAATCCTCCCTTGGCAGTTGGGCCACACCTAGTGACTCACATGGATATAAAATGGCTCCGACATGGCACTTCTGAAACTAGGCTAGGAAGAACTGAAATGTCAGTTTTGGGTATGTGTTCTCTCTCTTGAGTCACTCCAGCACAGGTGTGTGTGTGGGGGGGGGGGGGGGGGAATGCCGTGTCATGAGAATTTCTGCATCTTGTTGGGAGCCAGAACCAATTGTAGCATGGGTGTACTTGGCAACAGATCTGTCAGACCCAGCTGAGGATTGAGATTGTGGCAGTCTTCTGAGAGACCTGGGGCTTAGGCACTTAGCTAAGATACATGCAGATTCATCTGTCAAACACTGTGATAGTTTTAATTGTTAATGTGACACAATCAGTATCATATAGAAAGAATCTCAACGAGGAATTGTCTAGATTGGGTTGACCAGTAGGCATGTGGGGAGATTGTTTTGATTGCATTAATTGATGTAAAATGACCTAGCCCACTATGGGCAGCACCATTGCCAGAGTTTGGTTCCTAAATTGTATTGAAGTAGAGAAAGTTAGCTGAGCAACAAATATTCATGCTTTTATTGTCTCCATGCACTTGACTGTTGAGGTAACTAGCTGCTCCAAGTTCCTGTTGCTTTGACTTCTCTGCAATGATGTAATGACTGTAATCTAGAATTGTATGCCAGATAAACCCCTTCTCCCTTGAAGTTGCTTTAGTCAGGGTATTGTATCACAGCAGCAGGAAAGGAAAGTAGGACACACAGTGAGAAAAGACATGCTTATTTCCTACTACTGTGTTTTGAGTAATTTGTTAAGTAGCAATGAGTAGTTCATACATATGTTTATTGGTCAGGGATCTTACATTTTGGAGACGCTTGTTGAAGTACTTAGAAATAAAATGCCATGGTAAAGGCAATTTCCTTTTTTGGTTTTCATTTTTAGTGCTTTTTTTGAGATCTCTTTAATATGTATTTAAGTAGAAGGCAGAAGAATTATTCTCCTAACTGTATTACTTTCAGAGCCTTGTAGCATGCCCCTCCCTGCTCATCCAGTGGCTGTGTTGGACATGGGAAAGTCTCATCATCAGTCTTTGCTTAACTATGTTTTCAGAAGCAGCCCAAAAGACATTTTTCTTTCTCATATGCAAGGCTGGGCTTCTTTTAAGATCATGATGTGAATTATATATTAATGAAGAATGATAATTATTTTGATGAAATAGTAATTTATGGACTTGGTGATAATTTCAAGGTTACACAGAGACCACTTAGTTCTCTTACATTCTTGTCCCCCTACTTCATTTCCCAAGGCAACCAACCATAGATAATCTGGTTATACACGATTTCAGAAAATGCTTGTGCAGACACACCCATCTACATAATATATCATCCCTTACCTCATTTCTCCGCTGTCTTGACAAACGGTATGCATGAAATTGGAGCTGGAGATATAGCTCAGTAGTTAAGAGTACTTGTTGCTCTTATACAGGACTCGGGTTTGCTTCCTCTCGTACCAGGGAGTCTCACACTCTTTTGACCTCTACGAGCAGCAGGATCACACAGGTGGTACACACGCACATATGCAGGCAAAACCACATACACATAAAATAAATAAATCCAAAAAAATTTTAAAAAATGAATATACACAAAGTCAGATTCAGAAATATTACTTCCATTAGTTTTTGTACACCCATACAGACCATTACTAGACCTTCCAAGGACACTATATTGTCCCATTTGCTGGAGCGGCCACTGCCATTTTGGTTCCTATTAGCACAGGTTTGCTTATTCTTGAATTTCACAGATGGAATCATAAAATACACTTTTACATCTAGCTCTTTTGTTTTATATGCCTTAGAAATCTGTCTCTGTTATAGCAGTGATTGATTTCATTTTCATTTTCTTTTTTTTGTTTGTTTGTTTTTCTTTTTTTAAATTTATTTATTTATTATGTATACAATATTATTCTGTCTGTGTGTATGTCTGGAGGCCAGAAGAGGGCACCAGACCTCATTACAGATGGTTGTGAGCCACCATGTGGTTGCTGGGAATTGAACTCAGGACCTTTGGAAGAGCAGGCAATGCTCTTAACCACTGAGCCATCTCTCCAGCCCTTGTTTGTTTTTAGAGATAGGGTTTCTCTGTATAGATTTGGAGCCCATCCTGGAACATGCTCTGTAGACCAGGCCGGCATCGAACTCATAGACATCTGCCTGTCTCTGCCTCCTAAGTACTGGGATTAAAGGCATGCACCACCATGGCCCGACTCATTTCATTATCTTGTGAATAGCACCATAAGAAATAAAATCAGGTAGCCATGTGTGGTGCCTCATGCCTGTCATCCCAGTACTAAGGAGATTGATGCAGAGGATTGTGAAGAGTTTGAGACCAGCATTAAATGATTTCCAGAGTAGCTTGGATCATGTCTCAAAAGGAAAAAATAACAAAGGTAAAATTAGAGCACCTGATTACTTGACAGCTCCATTTCTTTAGCTGTTGTTTGAGGATTAATTTACATCCACACATCCCCAGTACATTCCATCTCGTGGTCAGTACAGGAATTTACCGCACTGATGATGATTGATAGACATGTGGATTAGGTACTCTTTTCTAATCAATGAAAATGGTATTATATTACTAGAAAATTTCAAAGGGAGAAACATTTCTCTGAGATGAAACTTATAGTGTTTAGATGTTAGAAGAAAACTCCAAAGTCAAAACAATTTCTGTAATTTTTATCTGAGAACTAGATGTCCAGAGGAGCTGAATGACTTGCCTAAGATCAAGCAACCAG